CTTTCAGTATATATATATAGGTTTAGTAAATATATAATAAACTACACCTATATAGGTTTAGGTATAATATTATATCTACCTATGTAATATGTTATGGTATTCTATGCTATATTCTAACTATGTTATATAAGAAATAAGAAAATATGTTTGTTTATTTATATTAATGATGCTAATTATTCTGCAGTAATGATTGGGGGTACGTCGACGTGTCATATGTTACTCACCGACAAAGAAGTGTTCGTGGACGGCATCTGGGGACCATATTACGGTGCCATGGTACCGGGCTTCTGGCTTCTAGAAGGCGGCCAATCAGCCACGGGCAAACTGATCGATCATGTAATCAGCACTCATCCTGCCGCCAAACATTTGAACGTCACAGATGACCTGTTAGTACCTATTCATATAGCATGTCTTAATGTCTATATTATATTATAATATAATACATAAATAAGTCCATGAGCTTTTTTTTTAAAAGATTTACAATTTAATGTAGGTATTAATATGATAACTGTTGAATAAGAGTAATTTTATTTCAATTTTAATTTATGAAAAAAAAAATGTTACATTTACAATATTCATGTCTTGACATTCGCCCTAATCAGATATTTACAATATTCTTTTTGGTACTATGTAACTTACACGGAGATTGCAATGATTAAGATTTCCTTTTTTTTTTTTTGCGAATAATTCAATTTTTTCCATCCACCTTTATATACGTATTAGGAGAGCGGAAGACTACCTGAACGGGTTACTCGTGAAAATGGCCGCTGACAAAGGTTTGGATGCGATCGATATGTTGACAGAAGACTTTCACGTATATCCTGACTTCCACGGAAACCGATCCCCCATAGCGGATCTCACACTTAAAGGAATGGTACGTGAAGGCTTTTAAAAATATTCCACATTTATTGTTTTCATATTAAAAGTGTAAGACAAAAAAAATAATGGTAACAAAGATGATCAAACTATATGTTTAGCATTTATTAAAAAACTAGTTAGGAAAACTCATCCTGCAAGCGTGCTTAATTACAGAAATCTTAACGTATTTATAATACAACATAATTAACCATAATTCCATAATATCCAATTTAAAAATAATAATTAAATAACCTTTATATTATGGTAAATACCTAGTTTAAAATATTGAAATATTTAATAGTAAAAAAATATTTAATATAATTCTATTTTAGAGTTTTTCAAAATATTTTTTATCTGCCTTTTAAAAAACATATTTCTTAAGTAAATTTTGTCTCGCAAGGGGGGAGTGGTAAAATTCAACTTAAACCTCCGTGAAATACACGCTAGGAAATTTGGGGGATATATGTTTTAATTTGTATTAGGCAATAGGCACGTTAATGTTAAATGTGGCTCTGGATATGACGGTAGGCGGACACAGCCTTCTAGAATAATCAGGGTACTGCAGGGAAAAGGGATGCAGATAAAATCATTGCCTTTAGCCTTTAGGTGCATTTGACCTCAATACATATCTCTGATAATCCCGACAAGTCGGCGATGATGTGATGTGATGTAAGAGTTTTGTATTTTATTTTATATTTGTGAGATGTAGGGAGGGGATGAAATAACTTTTCGAAATATATAACTTTAGTAGGTACTACACTATACAACCCCTATTTTTCACAAAAATTCGTACTACACATATTTTAATGTACCATGAAATAATACAGAACCGTGGGGGGCTAAAAAAATTTTATTTTTTAAAAATGTGTATAATGTATTCTGTACTACCTATTACTATAATCTAGCAATTAGTCTTATTTATTAGTATTTAGTATAGGTATACACACTTCTCGAATCCGTAGTGCACACATTCAATTTCGGATTACACACTTTGTGTCGGGGTTCACTAAAAAATAAGACCTGACACTATATTACAGGGCGTTAAGGGAGATGGTGTCATACTCCCCTTTTAGATTATTTTTGTCCTCTAAAATATATGATATAACAATGAAACTATACTTAATACCGCTATATGATATGGTCTATAGAACAGTAAAAAATTCTTAACCCCCAGCCCACTTTCAAAAAAGCTGAGGACTATATTATTATCAATAGCGATTAGTGAATGATAGACGTATTTTTTGCAAGATATAGGGCAATATAAGTATTATACATCCGATATGAATCTATTTCAATTTACTACAGATTGGACCACAGTATAAAATATAACTATTATCATTGATTATATACATACTATAGTATTTATAATCAAAGCTATTATATTAGATGCAATATTGTATTTTAGATGGTCGGGTTGACGCTATCCGTGGACCAAGAGAACTTGGCACTTATTTATCTGGCAACGATACAGGCGCTGTGTGTAAGTACCTATAATAATTTAATATATTTACAATTTTGTTACGAATATACTTTTTAAACAATATAATACATTACGGTCATCAACGATATTAGGTACTATTGATTGCAAGGTGGTGGGGCGGGGTAGTGGTGATGGTAACTAGGAATGGTCGGTGCCATCAATCTGCATGTACGAATCGATTTACTTCTCTCGTGAGTTGTAGGCCATAGTTTTTTTATAATATGGACAATATATGATATAGGATTCAGTTACTTATATTCAGTWGCATATTTTATGGGAGTATTACTCCGGGCAATAGCTGTGATTGTGAATTTACAATCATACAATTCTACATACCTCTAATGATAATTTATTATTGTCTATTGTGGACCTATTAATATTTACTATTTTAAAAGACGTGCAATTCATATATGACATATTATTTAATCATATATGATATAAATATATA